TTAGTAAGAGGAATCAACAGGCTGAATATCTCTTTACAACAATAAAATAGTAAGTAAGTAATAGTTAGTTGTTATTTTTCAATTTTTTTTAAACTTATTTATTGAAATACTTTCATTCATTACACATAAAACAATTTTTATGAAAAGTTTTTTATAGCACTGAAAAATTTTTTAGTGCAACTACACTATAAATAGGAATTAACTACATACTGTTTTGATATTTGGTACATAAATCCAGTGGTTGTATAAAAAAAAACTGTTAAAAAATAATCAAATTCAATGAAAATATGTCAAATAAACGTATTAATTGGAGGCTTACCCGCAGTGCAAAAAAATTTTTTAGAGTTCTGCCAAATTTTTTCATTGTAAGTACACCGTATTGAAGTAATTTTCCGTTGGGTATGACTTTTTATACGGACAGAGTCATCGTAGAGAATTAAATGCCGATAAAATGCAAAATCCCCATGTTATTTGTATGGAAAAAAAGAAGTGCTCGGTGGCACGGCTTAATTTTAATTTATCGGACTATATTGAGTTTCTACATTAATTTTTGGTGCCAAAGAAGAGATCTAGGGGGCGAACAAACTGATTTTTGAAATTTGGGAAATAACGGACACCCTAATATATATATAATAGATTAGTTGAAACAACAACATATATTTTTACATGTCAGACCGGATTGGGAAATGTTTTGTCTCATTGCCGCTATTATAAGAGTGAAGGATACTGTTGAGGATATCGAATTTTAATAACATTGGAGGGGATACGGTTTTAAAACAGTTCGCGCAACATTATTGTATCAGTCACTCTAACGATTTCAATCAGTATGGATTCTCACGTTCAACATGAATTGTAAGTGTATCACTTATATCTATGATAAATATTCTATATCTATGAAAATATTCTATATTTATTCTTTATTGCAGTACACTTAACATTACGGGGAGGACATTTGCACTAACACCCGCAGCGTACAAATTTCTGGAGATCGGGATCGTCGCGGGACCGATGTCCTACGTGGAAATTGCGATTGGAGACACCCGAGGCACCCGCGTCATCCTGCCGTACGCTACGTGGACGATGTTCATCGAAAAACGGGCCAATGTCGAACGATTGGTGCAGTCGACTACTCCATCATTATTGATGCTTCAAAACCTTGTGATGTAACTTGTTAAAATACGCGATGTGAGCACAGTGAAATTATCTTTATGTATAAGTGCATGTATATGAAACCGTCTACCGTACTCTTTATGCTCGATCTAGAACAATGCGTCGATCATGCATATTTCGAATTGTGTAAATATACGAATAGTGTAAGAGATAAATTTAAATATTTCGTGACTTTTTTACGTCAAAATTGTATTGTGAATAAATTTGAAGCGGTAAATGCTTTGCGTAAGATTTATGATAGAAATTCTAATATCGAATGCGAATTAATAATGTATGCTTTAGGTGATATTGTATATCATGCATTACATGATAAATAAATAAATAAATAAATAAATAAATGTATGTGTACATTAAACGTATATTTCTTTAACTTACCATTTTCCCAAGCCTTTCCTCTAATTAAGTATTAGCGCGTTCTATAACGTGTTCTAACATGTCTTAAATTTATTGCGACAAGTTTCAACTTTTCCAAAGGGACGATTTTATCGCAGTCGTAAAGATAAACTCTATTGTTATTATTGACGTCGTCCCTATAGACAAAAAAAAAGGTTTCGATACGGTTAGAGTGCCTTCTTACGATATATTGTACGGTATGCTCGATAGCAGTTACACTGAAAAATAATTGATTGCGTAGTCATTTCTTAAAACTCGAAAATATCTGTTTAATTAAATCGCGTGCGAGAAGGAAACGGAACGAGAGGAAGAGAGAGAACAATATAGTAAGTACAGAACTGCAATAGGCGGGAGAGAGAGGACAACGGGGTAGAAAGAGAGCGCAATAGGTACGAGAGACAATACGTGGGAGAAGAGAAGGAACAAAGTCCCCCTTCCCGCAGACCCCTCCCCTGTGACGTACTACCCCCCCTTCCCTCTAGGGCCCGGCGCGACACCAGCGCCGCCTGGTGGCGGCTCTGTATCCGTGTGAACTTCCCCCTCCCTGCCCCCTCACACATACACATACCCCATATACATACACGCACTAACCATAGTGAGTTAGAACCGGCCTATATATCATACTCTACTGATATCAAATCTTTTGTACAAATGATACATATTATTAGATTTAAGTAAATAAAGATAATATCACGTAGGTTTTTAAAGATGGTACATATTACGTTAATTGTGATCCATAACTTCAACATGGTTTTTTTCTTTTTCTTGTGTACAATATATGAGATTGTACATCAAATCTGCTAATTTGATGGTGGCATTCTCTCGATCATATAAGGATGAATTTATATTTTGTATGCTGAGGATAACTCCAAAGAAGAGTCAAAACGTTCAGAAATAATTTTTTGATTTGTTGAATTTTTTAATTTACCAATAAACGGATTATAACTCACCACTAACTGAGTTGACTCTCATTTACCTGTTCTTGGGAACACTTTACATCGTCTTTCTAAAGAAGAGAGTCCGTAAGAAGATTACATTTTATTGAATCTGAAAATAATATTTTTCTTATTGCGAAAAATATTGTTACCTCGGCCGGGAGTCGAATCCGGATCGCCTGCTTAACGCGCAAGTGTCTTAGCCAATTAGACTACCGAAGCCTTAATAATATTCCTCGCAATAACTGGTATATGTGAAATGACAAACGTTAAATAAAAACAATTGTTAATTAATTTTATTTTACTTAATAATATAATACATATATAATAATAATATAATACATATTTAACATAATAATATAAATAAATTAAAATTGAAAATAGAACTCTCGAGAATGTCAAATAACGAAAAAACGAAACAGGCTAATGAGAGTCAATACTGCGGTAATTAATGCGACTTAATAATTATTTATTATTTGACTTATTGTTATAAGTTGTGTTTATAATAAATAATTATTAAGTCGCATTAATTACCGCAGTATTGACTCTCATTAGCCTGTTTCGTTTTTTGTTATAATAATATAAATAAAAAATACTTTTTGGAAAAAAGTGTAATAAGCAGGAGTCGAATCTAGGAATCGACAGATTGGTAGTCTACAGCTGAGCTCCGGAGCTACGCCATCTTCTCGACAATGGGCTTAACGCGGGAAGTATAACGGTGTAAACTTTAAGCCGGTTTTTCTCAAAAATAGCTGAGTTGTCTCTTATCCCTTTACCAAAGTACTCTAATACTAGAATACTTTAACATATATAAGACTTTTCAAAATCGGTGATTTCAAGTTCGCGCTCTCCCCTTGTAAGACGCTTGAAGTGACCGTTCAGCCATAAAGATGCTATCTCTACATCGTCACTCCATGCACCCCCTTTTGTTTGTTAGATGACAAATAACCATTCAAATTAATTGTTTTGTAGGAAACCGACACCGGTCAAATGTTTGTTGAGCTGTTCCAACTGTTGGTTACGCTCAGTAACGAATGCGAGGTGGGCGGCGAATGGGTGATAGGAGCACCCTTGGTAGAACTGTCATTGTCGGAGCAGATCGTCGTATTGCACAGGATGGATCACTCGGTGCATACGGCGAGATTGTGGGCTATTCAAGAGACCAAGATTATAGCCCACACTTGGGATTTGGACGTATTTTTTCTCCTAGTTAAGGGTGACGTAGTAAATGGTCTTGAAGCGCTGTCTTATCTCAAGGTATTTCTAAAACATATTTTTTATAAAAGAAATACACTGTATTTATTTCCCATCGATTGATTTTAGCTCGCTGATCACACGACAGCATTGTTCATGAATTCTATTAGCGTCCAAGTATATGTGTGCACAAAGATGAGAGCGAAGATCGTTTCCGAAGTCAAAGCGAACATAGAATTACTTCAGGTATGTAATACTACACTGTTAGAAATTTTTGTAGGAATTTTCAGAAACGTGTGACTGAAGCAGTTATCGTTTCTGAAATTTACTAAGTGAGAAAGAAAATTTCAGAAACAGTAACTGCATAAAGCTTCAATCACCCGATTCTGAAAATTCTGTTACTTTAACTGAAAATTTAAGAAGGTTCGAGCGTTAATCGAAATTCAATTTAAAGACTTAATTTTTTAATATGATGTAGATAAACACTGTATACAAATAATCCCACAATTTAAGCAATATTGACCGTATAGTTTTATTGTCATGTCATTCTGAAATTCACCATTTTAACATAGCGTCTTATGGGAGACAGCGGTTCCGAAGTAGATAATTACCGATTTATACACACTCAGCCAACTTAGGACTTTGAAAAACTAGGATTTGACAGATAAAATATCAACAATTGTGTACAAAATAGGACAATCGGATTTGACCGTATGTATTTAAAGCTTTATTGTAACAAAGTTTATCTTTACCTCATGGATTGTATTAGTGGTAACAAATAGTAGTAACAGACTTGACAATGCCGCAGGGCACTGATACAAAGCCGATAAAAGCAGCAATGACATTCTCTCTTCATTCTATTTTCCTTTTTGTTTCCAAAATCGGCCTTTATACCGATTCTGCATTTCTCCCTTATAATTTGCTATGCTCACCATAATATGTCATTGCCCGTCGCGAAGTGCCACATTGCAAAGTGTATACTCGACTTCTCGAGTCGTTAACAATCTTACACATTTGTTAATATTCTATTCACTAATAATTTACTAAGAATACAGCACATAAATAATATCCACAATTTATTACACTAATATTGCGCTTGATTCCAAATCACTATGACAACTTTTTTGCAGTTGCATTTTTGACTTCAAAGTAACGCTCGAACCTCCTTAAAGGAATAAAAAAATTTTTATCGGTTTATTAATTTTAATATTAATATATACAGTTTATAATTACCTTGGCACATAAATATAAATAGTAAGATTATATGAGCGAAGTATGTTTATGTAAATAGCTACGTACATTAGTGTGTCATACGTTTGTATACTTAAACATATCAAATGTATAGTGTAATTTCAGCCGCGCAACATACACACGAGTTTACGTTACCTAAGCTAGCACACAATATACACCGCGAGCACTATATTTCATATTTTCATGTTATGATACAATATAATAAATATTATAGAACATGCTCCGAGAAACGGCTAAAATTGAATGACGCGCATACTGCACGTGAGCCAAATTAATTTATTAGATAATACAATTAAAAACACAATTAAAAAGCCATCATGACGATCGGGTAGAATAGATGCAACTGCAGGTGTTTCGGGTATAATAAATGATGCTTGAAATACTCTTGTGATTATGCTTGTGATATAAATGCTTTATTGCACAAAATGCTTCTTATCCAATATGTCGTTTTGTACAAAGAATGTATAACGAACGAATGAACGCACGAACGAACGAACGTATGAAACGAACTGACACGAACTAAAACGAACTAAAACAAAAGAGCCCCCTTTTCCTCAACTAACGCAAGGATACAAACTTAAAGGAGACAATTCTCTACATGCCGCTCTTTTTTGAAAGAACATTTTTCAACACAAATTAATTAGTTAATAAACTTAAAAGCTATACCTAGCCGACAGATTCTTACCTTCAGGTTCCTTAAGGGATATATTAATAACATAGAAGTAGTATTTAAATATAGTATAATAGTAAGTATTAGATAAACGGAATAAAAAATTTTTTAATTTTTGGGTAAGGCACAAATCCTTTTCGCTGCTCTTTTAACAGTTCCTGTTGCGGTACGGATGGTCACTACTCTGACTATTTTGTCATGACCCGGATGTATTTCTTCAATACGCCCAAGGCTCAATGGTGGCATATTATCTTCTATTAATAATACCAAATCACCCTTTTCTAATTGATTATCTCCTCTTTGCCAACGAGTTCTAGTTTGCAACTGGTGCAAATATTCTTTCTGCCATCGTTGCCAGAAATACTGGCGTATTTTTTGGATATGCTGCCATCTAGTCAGATGATTAGTCTGCGTCTCCAGGTAATTCCACTCTGCTACTCCTTGCAAAGGTGCTTCAATTAGAAAATGCGCCAAAGTAAGAGGTGTTAAGTCATTCGGATCCGCTAATAAGGCTGTCAAAGGTCTACTGTTTAACACACCTTCGATTTCAACTAATAGCGTATAGTATTCTTCGAACGTAAAGAGTAATTCCTTCATAGCGATGACTTTTTGTACTCTTGCCGCAGCTTCCCACAGTCCTCCAAAATGTAGCGAACGTGGTGGGATAAAATGCCACTGTATCTCTTGTACAGCTAACTGTGATGCGATCTGATCCTTTTCTTTGCGTAGAAACTCATATGTTTCTTTCAACTCGTTTGATGCACCCACAAAATTAGTACCATTATCCGAGTAAATGTGCATGCACGTTCCACGCCGGGCACAAAAGCGTCGAAATACTGCCATAAAGGCTTCCATAGTCAGGCTGCTCACCAGCTCGAGATGCACTGCTTTCGTCTTGAAGCATACAAAAACAACTACGTATACCTTAGTGATAGAAATCCTACCTCTTCTATTGCTCTGTCTTAGATTAAAGGGGCCTGCGTAGTCCACTCCACATACTGTAAATGGCCTACTGGATGCTGTAACCCTAGATTCTGGAAGATCTGCCATTATTAACTCTGGAATGTTCGGCCTATATCGAAAACATGGAATGCATTTCTTGATCATCTTCCTCGCTTCTCTTCTGCCTGATAGTGGCCAATATCTAGTTCGCACGGTACTCAATAGCTGTTGCGGTCCACAATGGTGCAACGTCTTGTGTTCTTGCGCTAACAGTATCTCCGTAACGTGATGTTTAGTTGGCAGTACTATTGGGTTTTGATCCAGTGATACGTCTGCTTGTTTTATTCTACCATCAACCCTTATGATGCCTTCCTTATCTAAGAATGGATTGAGAGCTGCAATTGGACTGCTTGGATGCATTAGCTCCTGACGCTTCAGATTATGCAACTCTCTTGGGAAGCACTCTTGTTGAACCATGCGACAGATAGTAATTTCTGCTCTTTGCAACTCTTCAACCGATAGGACTACTGACCTAGGTTTTTCCGATACTCTGATTCTCATCCTCAGACAATAAGCGATAATCCTCTTTAATTTATCAAATGACGAATACTTTTGCAAAATTTCTTGTTCTCTTACCACCGTAAATAATACTTTCTCCTTTGCTTCTGGAATCTCTGTTGTACTGTTAACAGCTATGCTGGGCCACTGATCCTTGTATGGAAGCCATTGCGGTCCATACCACCATAACTTATCCTCTATCAGCTCCTTCACTGTTGCACCCCTAGATAGCACGTCTGCTGGGTTTTGTGACGATAGCACATGTTTCCAATAACATCCAGGTGTTAATGCTTGTATTTCTGTTACTCTGTTAGCATAATATGTCTTCAATTTATGTGGAGAAGTAGCTATCCAGCTAAGCGTAATTGTCGAATTATTCCATAAATATATATCTTTTACTGATAATTTTATTGCTTCAATTACTGCTACGACTAATCGAGCCAGTAGTAGAGCTGCACATAGCTCTAATTTAGGCAGAGATATTCTTTATAATGGTGCCACCTTTGATTTTGATCACATAAGGTAAAATTTATAATTTCCTTGTTCAGTTTTATATACACAATAAATACAAGTTCCGTAAGCTTTCTCTGATGCGTCGCCGAAACCATAAATAGTGATTGTTTGATTTAGATTCTGCGGATTAAAACATCTTCTTATCTGAAGATTACTAAGCTCCAACAATGAGTTATAATACTTGGACCATGTCTCATAAAATGTATCAGGAACTATTTCATCCCAGTCTATATTCAATTTCCATAATTCTTGCATTGCGATTTTGGCTGTTACCGTCACTGGACCGATTGTTTCTAAAGTATCATAAATACTTGTTATCTGCGATAGGATACGGCGCGGCGCTTAGTAGCTTCGTCGTTTTCGTTGAGCTTTATTGAGTATTGTAAAGTATCCTCAGACGCGTTCCAGAGTAGGCCTGATGTTTTTTGCTTGGCGTCTAAAACCATTAGAGGCTCCTTTTCACTTTCTTGGGCTAAGTTTTGCCAATATTCTTTTATCGCTCGCTCTCCACTTTCTGAGTTCAAATCCTGCAGCTCCCAGCAATTCCGATAATTCTTTTCTTAATTTGACTGCCTGTTCTATGGTGTGACTACCTGTTATCACGTCATCCATATAGAAATCCTGCATCAAGGCTTCTGCGGCTGCTGGCCTCGTGATTGCTTCCGGCTGTGTCGCAAGATGTTGTAGGCAACGCATTGCCAGGTACGGCGCAGAAGTTGTTCCGTATGTTATGGTATTCAAGGCGTATGTTTGAATAGCTTCTGTTGGATCTTGCCTCCATACAATCCTTTGTAAATCTCTATCTGTCTCCGTTACCCATATCTGCCTAAACATCATTTTGATGTCCGCTGTTATTACATGCTGATGTAATCGGAATCTTAGCATTATGCTCCACAAATCTTGTTGAAGGTTAGGTCCACTTAATAGCTTTTGATTCAATGCTGCTCCTGTTGACGATTTCGAAGAACCATCAAAAACTACTCTTAATCTTGTTGTCACACTATCGTTCTTTATCACTGGATGATGAGGTAAATAGAATACTTCCTTCGTTGTATTATAATCCGAAGATGTAACTAATGACATGTGTCTTAATTCCTTGTACTTTTTCAGAAACTGATGGAATTCATCATTTAATTGTGGCTGCTGACTGAGTCTTTTCTCTATTGCCAGAAATCTCTTGATCGCCGTGATTTCTGAGTCACCTAGTATAATAGTGTCATCTTTAGGCAAATGTACGATGTATTTACCGTCTGCACCTCTCTTTACTGTTTGTAAGAATTCTTCAACCTCTTGCTCTTGAGCTGAATATCTATGCTCCAACCTCTTTGTTTGCACTTCTTCTTGCTGCCAGAATCTTTCTACCTGATGATTAAGCTCATTATTAACGAGATTACAAACCCGTTCAGTATTACGCATTTTTTAATCAACCAATTCTCCTCCTACTATCCATCCGAGCTGTGTCTCTTGCAGTCTCGGTAATGTGTCGCTTAATTTTCTTTGTTGAGTACCTAATATTTCCTAAAATTTACCGCTTCCTAATAGAATATCTATTTCCCCCGGAATCTGAAAGCTGGGATCTGCCAGACTTAATTCTGCAGGAATATTCCAAAATTGCGTATCGATCCTAACTTGAGGAAGATTTACGGTTATAGCGGGCATAACTAAACAATCTACTGAAGTCGTAATCTCGTTATACATTGATTTAATTCTTATATTAACCGATTCTTTAGCTGTGACACGCATATGATTAATACCGGTAATCGGAACAATATTCTCGGTAGTTCTTAAACCTAACTTCTGTACAATATTCCTAGTTATAATGTTGCTCTGAGACCCGGGATCTAACATAGCTCGACAAACCTTCCATCTGCCCTTCGCATCGCAAACAAATATTTTAGCTGTTGCTATAAAAACTATTGAATCAGGTCCTTTAGCGGCATGTACCGTCACTCTTGCTTCCTTATTCGTGATAGCACAATTCTGTACTGGATCTATCGACGTAACCATCGTACTAGAATTTGCCGCCTTTTCGGTACTTGACAATGTTTGTCCTTGTGCCTTTCAATTTTCCAACGACTCCTCTTTTTCCATATGCAACATAGTATTATGCTTCCTAGAACATAATCTACAAGTAGATGCTATGCATGCTTGCTTATAATGACCCTTACGCAGGCAATTTATACATAACTGACGCTTCCGTACTTCGGTTAACTTATCTGACATAGATAATGCTTTAAACTGATCGCATTTTCAAATATGATGTAAATCATCGCAATATACGCATTTTGACTGTGACATTGTTGCCACTGTTACCTTTTTTGCTGAATTCTTGTTTATTGTGAATTTTACCTGTTCCTGTCTACTCTTTGTACCTTCTACTAGCTCTAGTGTGTGTGCTCGATCTCCCAAGTATTCCTTAAACGCTTCAAGAGTAGGCATAGTATCCAGTGCATTTTTCCTAACCTCGAATTCCCAATCCTTTCGAGTAGCATAATCCAACTTATCGATAAGCAAATAAATAAGGATTGTATCCCAATGAGTGACCGGCTCCTTCAATACTTCTAAAGCTCTAACATGAGTACGCACCACATCGATGAAACTTCTTAACGAAGCATGATTGCTCTTACTTACTGCCTGTAACTCAAAAAGCTCTTTGATATGCTTATTAATAATTAGTTTTTTATTTTCATACCGCTTTGTAATCAAACGCCATGCTGTGACATAATTATCATCTGTTGTTTCTAAAGTGTGAATAACTCGCAATGCATCTACCGTTAATGAACTACGCAAATATTGGAACTTCTGAATATTTGTTAATCTAGTATTAGTATGAATAACTGAGATAAAAGTGTCTTTATACATAAGCCATTGGTCATAATTACCGTTGAATTGCGGAAGTTGTAGCGTTGGTAACTTAACGTTAATTTTATGAACATTTTCATTTACCTGTTGCGTTGGCGGTGGCAGCGCCTGAACCGCTTGTCTTTCTCATACCATTCGCTTGGCTATTGCCAAATACTCAAAATATGCATCTTCCACAGATTGTCTTTCTCTTGCCAATTCTACATCTAAGTTACACAGCTCCTCCAGAGTAGGTGCAGGGTCACGCCCTAATAAAGTTTCTAATTTGATTTCTGCTATGAGCGTTTGCGCCTCATTATATGCACTGTATAGATCCTCGATTCTTTGTATACGTTCGGGTAGCTGTTCTGCTCGTTCTTCGTTATGTTCTCGAACGAATCGAATAAAGGATGTAATCTGACCTTTAATGTTTGTTCGCTTAGCTCTCAATTTCGCCAATGATTCCATTTTGGTTTTGTATGCTATACCACGCCGTTGCGTTCCTCGTGATGAAAATACTTAACCTTGTTTATCGCGCAATGCAGCGCTTACTTGCTTTTGTATATAAATTTTGCTCGAACCTTTTTCCGAGCATCCGGCTCGAAGGACCAATGTTTCGGATATAATAAATGATGCTTGAAATACCCTTGTGATTATGCTTGTGATATAAATGCTTTATTGCACAAAATGCTTCTTATCCAATATGTCGTCTTGTACAAAGAATGTGTAACGAACGAATGAACGCACGAACGAACGAACGTATGAAATGAACTGACACGAACTAAAACGAACTAAAACGAAAGAGCCCCCTCTTCCTCAACTAACGCAAGGATACAAACTTAAAGGAGACAATTCTCTACAGCAGGCTTACTATAACTTCATTTCGCGAATGCTCGATGCCACTACCACCCAGCATTATTTTTAAATAATACGGTTTGGTTGCGTAAAAATGCATTTGATATAATAACTCTCGTTAAAAAGGCGACCATGTTTAAGGAGAGTTCATAAATTTTGCCATATTTCGTCATATTTACGATTAACACTGAACGTACCATGACTGGTCAAATGACCGGTTGTAAACTTTTGATTAGAAAATTCATATAAAATGTTATCGCTTTTTCACATTTAACCTCATGACTTTTTCTATTAAATATATACAATTAATTTTACATCATTTATTTATATTTTTATTTGTTAAATCTGATAAATACGAGTAGCCTAGCGTTATTTACCGCGACAGGTCATTTGACCAAGAGAAATATTTATTGCCTTATAAGAGCATTAGATTCGAAAATCTAATGCGCATTCACATTCTACGTATTATATGAGTTTGTGGTACACTTCTGCTGTTGTACACATTTCGATATATTAATAAATATATCGAACTGTGGTACACTTCGAAGACTGCATTTTCGTTGATTATTGACCACCACATTATGAAACATATAAGAATATGCACAATAGAAGAAGCAAATCGAGTTTTAGAAACTCGGTGTCTATCTCGAGCGAAATTAAATGCATTTGTTGCAATTTTATATGCACAAGGTGCATATAAAGCAAACAATTTAAAAGTTTCTTTTTTGTGGAATAGAACATGGGGCCTTAAATCTTTCTCAAAAACCATGAGCAGAAATTGTTTTGTAGAAATTCTCAGATTTATCCGTTTTGATAAAAAAAGTGCGGAGCCAACGCTTGAAAACAGATAAATTCGCCTTGATATTTGACAATGAGTATAAAATATTGTAAAGACAATAAAACCATAAAAATCTGTTCTAAATGTAAGAAATACGTTTGTGGAAAATGTACATTGAAACCTCTCTGCATCTGTAAAAAATGCGGACCGCAATAAATTATCTATATTATTAAGTTTTTGTTTTTTATACTAATGGAAAAAATACATTTTTGTTTAATTATATATTACCTTAAAGTTACTTTGTTTCATATTTTCTTACCAAAATCAATATTTCTCCATTTAATTAAGAAAAATAAAGCCCTTATCTAAAAATCGGTCATTTGACCGGTTGCGGTATAAATAGGTATATATTAAATCTCGGTACGTTTAGTGTTAAAAAGCCTAAGTAAACATTAGAATTTGCTAACTACAAGAAAGAACGCTCGAGCAACCGAACGGAAGATACCGAAAATCCTATGCATAAAAACATCACGTTGTTTCTTCCTTCGCTGCGAGTACGCGCGCCCATGAGTACTGACATTACCGTAGCTATAAATAGACCGCCCTAAAAGATAGCGGTACTGAAAATTCGATTAAAATTCGTTTAAGGGGGAAAATGTAGATTTCCGGACAAAAAGAACATTCTAGAAAAATTCTCACGGACGACTTACACACACAAAAATAACACCCTCTCACCGCGAGACGTCACCCCCCCTCCCCATCGTTAGTATATAAACGCGACAATTCCGACTAGAAATTAGATCTTACCCAAATAACAATATGTTATCCAAAAGGTTTCTAAAAGATATCTTATTTCTGAATCTGATAACTTAAAGAAACTTCTTAAAGATCACATAAAGATAACTGAATGTTATCTAATGCGTCGTTTTTTGAGAACAGAAAGATGTCACAAAAATGATATTTAAAAGATTTCTTAAATTGGACATCTTTATGATTAACATATATATTCATATTTATGATGTCTTAAAGAAATCTGTTATATGTTAATATATAAATTTCTTTAAAAAGAGAGTTTACAGGTTATGTTTACAGGTTTGAATTAATTAATCTTGCCGTTCACTTCATCAGGGCGAGGAATGCACTGATACGTATCTATTAGCGATTTCGGCTGGGAAAATAAGTGTGCACTGGTGCATATTAAAACCGTTGTACACTGTTAATCTACCACCGCGGCAGTACACGGATATAACATATGCACGAACATGTACATTGTACATGGACTTAACATGCTACAGTGTACACTAGTGCATCCCACCCGAAATTGCTACAAGTATCACTGCACTCCTCGCCCTGATGAAGTGAATGGCAAGATTATGAATTCACAGAACGTTGGCGCGATAATCTACAAACCTTCTGGCATCTCTGAAACAGAATCTTTCCTAATAAGTAACATCAAATGAATTTCTCATAAAAGATATCATAATTATGTCTCGTTTCTGAACTGTCAAAAATCATACAACATATTGATATCTTTTATGAGAAAACAAACTAATATCATTTAGCATGACATCATAAAGATAACAATTTCAAGACATCTCTCAAATCGGATATCTTAAAGAGTTCTCTTGGTAGATTCTCTAATAAATGATTATTATGAGATATCGTTTAGACATTATTTTAAAGATAACTAAATGTTCTCTTGAAAAAGTTCTCTTAAAGTTTTCATTCTGACAAGCATGCTGTCTGGGTATCTTCTCTCTGGAGCGTGCCGAGCATCCTAGAGCACTTTAAAAGTATCTATCTGGCGCTCGAGGAGGAGCGCCTCATAGATTCAACGCATTGGAAGAATATCTCTTGCATTCACAATAATCGCAAGGCGCTTCTACACGAAGCACTTAATTTCATCCGCATATTCATAATCATCTTATTCTTTGCGATCATC